CTTCCCCCTTCCCGGAGAGTTTTACTTTCAACGAAGTTATAGGTGTTCAAAAAAGGGGTACTTTCGAGTGTTTGCTTGAAATTGATCCCAGGTCGTAAAATAACGCGCTCCAGTGAGCTTGTATTAGCGTGGGAATTGCACTGCTCGCGTGCGGTTGACCGCGAGCAATCGCTACCAAACACATATGCTTCAGAAAAACCTCGGAGAAATCAGTGCGCACTTTACGATTCGAAAACGGTTCACCAGTCAGACGACAAAAAGCACATAATAGGGTTAAAAGAGCGAGGAGAGTGAGATGCTCGGCATCACCCTTAAAGACACTTTAATTTCACAACTTACAGTCGCAGGTTCGGAGTTGCAATTCAGTGTGAGCGATCAGGAATTTCACCTGATCAATAATGGAAGTGGGGTTAATTTTCCATAGCCGTGCATTCCATGCTTCCGAATCTTTCACAATCTCGTCAGGAAGAGGAAATAAAATCTGAATAGGCTTATTTTGTCAGCTCAGAAATCCTTGTCGGAGTTAAAAGTGGACAAGCGGGACCTTACTTACTTCATTACTTTTTTGATTCCTCTTGTTAAGAAAAGTAAGGATTCTTAAGTGTCCTCAGGTGAATCTCGAAAAGCGCTGCTTACCTTCTTTGCCTTAGTGGAGATAACCCACGAAGGTTGTTGCTGCCATACAGGATGAAGAACGGTCTGAAAATTCCATAGGCTACTGTATAACCCTTTGAATTGATACCAAGAGCTGTAAACCTTACTCATAGTTAGTGCAAGTAGCAGTGATAAATTGACAAGGCGTACAGGGCTCGATACGCCTCGCACGAAAAAAAACATTGTGATCCCAAGATATGCGTGGCGCCTTTCCCAACCAAGAGCACCGTTACATCGCTAACCCGACCACTCACTGTAACCGCCGGTCCATAAATGGTCGTACGGCCGCACGACGATGGTACTATTATCACTTCATCCACATGGTACACCTGATATGAAGCGCTGCTTCATGGATATTCGAATACACAATCATGGACATTCGAATAAATACGCCGTACCTATTAAAGCGGTTGTTGGCACGGGTCCAACAGGGAACAGGTCCAAAATGCCCGTCCAATGCAGAGCAAGGGCTTTTTGTGCGTTTTTGGCAGTTTCACTTCGCTTTTTAGTCACTTTCCTATTCTACAGGGGGGGGCCAAAAAAAGTCACTTCGATCGAGTCACATATCAGCAAAGTTTTCGCAGCCCAGACAGAGACGTGGATACGAGTACCAGGGCGGAATACCCAAGATGTTCCTCTATAAGCAGGAGCTGGCTCTCGCCCATCACCTTCATGTACACCAAAAGTCATCTCCAGTCGCAGCCTGACTGGAGAAGACCTTTGGAATTCATGTCACCTCCAAACAGCTGCGAAACTTCTAGTATGGAGTCACCCATGGAGAGACCAGTACTCTCGATCTGGAAGACCTCCAACATCGAGCAGCTCCGACAACGTCGCCACGGTCTAGGACATCATCTTCACCGCAGTCGCCAAGGCGCGGGTTGATGGTATGGACCGGACGTACCTGGAATGGAAAGACCAATATTTTTTCGTGGACCCGGACTGAAGGTGAGCGCTGGCGGTTACATCGAGCAACTCGAGAAGAATATCCTCCTCACATGTCGTCGCCCGTACCTTCTTGGAAACTTTGTACTGCTACAGCATTGGGTGCCACCACATGGAATCGAAGGGCGTTGGAGAAACTCTCGCCTACTTGGAATGGAAGGGGGCTGAGTACCTAAAGAAGATGGAATATCCAAGTAGGTCACCTGACCTGAACCCCTCAATTACCCGGTTCGGGCGGAGTTCAATAGGGTGGTCTACGGTGGCGGAGAAATCGACTATCTCGCTGATCTCAGGCACCACATCGCGGTCGCGTGCCAGAATCTCTCGATGGCGCTCGTCCAGAAGGCTGTGGCGGAGTGTCATGATAGTATTTAATATGCTCTTTAATATGGTGGTAGAAATGTCCGATCAGAATTTATAAAGTGTAACTTATAGCGCTCGAAAGTCAATGAAGCAAAGTGACTTTTTTTGCCCCCCCCCCTGTATTCACCCCCGTTACTATTTTCGAGCAGGCACCCGCACGCAGCCAGATTCGCCTTTCCCTACACATATAATACGGTGGCGTTGGGATAGAAAGCTAACTCCTTCGAGACCCACTCAAAAAACTCCTTATTTTTGCCCAAAGGAGAGAGTACCGCTAAAAGTCACGTGGACTTTTTTTCGTAAACTACACACGCCTTCGTGAAGTGTAACACGTGCTCTGGCGCAAAGTCTGAAGTTTGGCAGATGAAGGTCACCTAAAGTGAACGAGTACCATAAGGCGGTCATACTAATTTCCTCGGAAAATAAATAAGCTCAAGGAAGTGAAGCAATTTATTCCAAAAAATAGCCCCGCTCCTCCCCCTCCCCCACCCCTCCCGATTTGGACTGGAATTGATTTAATGCCTGATCGCACACAGTCAATGAAATGAAGCGCCTCCCGATCAATGCTTTCGTTCCACTTTTTGAGTCTTCCATTCGATGGCACTCGGACTAGAATCGCTTCAGAACAGGATCATCTTTAACCACTTCTTCTTTATAGCAAGTCTGCTGTCCGAACTAGCTCTCTTTCAGTTCTGGTGAGGAAGACCGCAATATAATGTCCTTTTTCTGGGGCATAAGGCGCACTCCTGTAAAAGGCCCACGGCCGTCTCAAAATTTTCTCCCAGTTTGCCTTTTGCGTATTTCTTGTTTGTTCTTACCCACAGCAATGATCTATGTTCAATAAGAACCCTTGAAAAGCTAGAGAGAAGACCAAAATAGGCAATAAAAGGGCCAGAAAAGGCGGGCGCTTACGGACACTTCGCGTCACGTGCATTTCTGTGAACTGGCGAAATGATGCACCCTATACGCTGAAAATGGGGATCGTTGTAAGGTAGTGAAGGCAAAGCAGGAAGCTGCTCAAGTGACTACGCCAGAGACTGCGATAGCGTTGCTAGATGTCTAATCTGTTGTCTCGCTCGTCTGCACGATCTCTCGCTGCTCTTCTCTGTCCTCTCACTTGGAATCCACATCGATTCTTTTTCTCTCGCTTGACGCATGGAAAACCTTATTTGGAGCGTTTTCAACGGTTTCCTCAGCATGCATTCACAGGCAAGTCAAAAAGCACTAGAATAGGAATTGGTAAAAGAAGCTAGGGAAAGTGCAAAGCCCTGCCCCCAGCCCCCTCCCCCGCCCCACCTCGTCATGAGTCGAGCAGTGTCGTGAAGTCGAACCGCGCCTGCAAAGTCATACCGCGTGCCACAAGTATCATACCTGTTTGATACGGACAGGTCTTCTGTTCCCTTCCTTTTGGATAGCGGTTACCAAACCCTTCTGAGAAAGTTGTTTAACCCCGTTACCAATAAACTTTTTCGCCAGCTCAATTCCACCAAGCCAGGATAATCGACATTGTTTCCTGTCTTTTTTTGAATGAATGATCGTATTGATCTGCAGGATACTTGAACCCCCTTTCCTTGAAAACTTCTAGCGACGCGCGCTACTGTTTTTCTGAGCATTACATCATGGGAGGTTGCCACGGATTTCATCATTCATTGACAGTCGCGCGAAAATGCTCCAGCAGGTTCTGGAAGAGCTGAGTGAACCGTCATTTTTTTGCGCCTACCATATCGCTTACTATTTATCGCCTAACACTTTCCTGACCAGTCAAATCTCCTGAAGAGAAAAACTAAATTAATCGGTGCACAAATTGAAGAGCTTGTTTCCTTACCACATCATGGCCGTCTTCACAAAGAATATCAGCGATACGTCCGAGGAAAATGGCATGAGAATAACCCAGTGGGCTTGAATAGATAAGAATTTTATAGGCATGAATGGGATAAAAGCTGAGTAGGAGGTAGACCAGAAGCGGCTTCATTTTGATTGCATGACACATATCTTCTTATATTTCAAGGTCTGAAGTGGAACCATTTACACCAGCAAGTTTCAAAAAAGATAGACTTCGATGGGAAACCTTAAATCAGACCTATCTTGAAGGAATAGCGACGAGCAGTCGTCGTTGGTGACTCCACATTGGCCAACTAGTTAGTCAGTTCTGTGACCATGGCCTTATACGGAGTTCTCGGTATGTGCCCCACCTGAAACGATGACACAGAATCGCCATCACCGACTTTACACTAAACCGATTGTGGAATTGATCTTTCGGTGTTTCTTTAATGTCATCAGAAGGTTGTTGTGGTGGTTGACACGCGATTTCTTCCAGCCGTTAAAAAGTCTTGCGGTGGCGAAGGCGCCATGAGTTCCGTTACCAAATTTTTTCTGTCCGTTTCATCCAAGAAAATAAAGCTCACATATCTTCACATGGAACACGAGAAACTTCAACAAGAAGGATTTAGAGGGCGCAGTTCGGTGACGGGGAGCATTTTGGGTTTTCCCTGCCCCACTTTCCGGTTTGCTAACTTAACTGAGACTTGTGAACTCCTGTGAAGTTGGAGCAAGCTCATATAGCCACTATGGTGAAACCTGTCAATTCACGAAAAGGCTCTTTGGATGTGTCGACACGTGATGGGAAGTAGCAAAAGTGCTGCCCCCCCCCTCCTCATTGCCGAACTGCGCCAGTATGATATCAAAGATGAGCACCACACCCATCGCGAGTGATAATCAGGGAACGTTCCGTTGGGGTGAAAAATTCCGCTGAATACCTGCAGTTGAGGAGAATTTTCGCTAACCTTCCCCCCTCCCCTTCACGATGGCCCTCCTTCCACAACAAACCACTTAGTTGGGCTGCATTAATGCATAACAATCTTGAAAAGTGACGAAACTGTAGACAGAAGAAAATAACATGTTGATTCGAAGAAATAACAAGTCGCGGAATGAGGAGGAATACAGAATGCGCAGAAATGCCGAAATGATCGACAAAGTCTTGAAAGAGATTGGCTGGAGAAATGCTGATTTTGAATTCTGGGCTTTCGGCATTTCTGCAGATTGCATTTCTCCAAAATCCACAAATTCGTCATTTCTTCAAAGTCGTCATAAAGGAATGCGGCCTTACCAAACATTTCTGAAAACGCGGCTTTACTGAACCTTTTGCCCAAGCGGGGAGTGGGCATGGAACGGAAAAATTCAGTTAGTAAAATCAGTGCAATTTGCTACGACGCTTACCAGGTTGCATCGTTGAGAGAACCCGGGACTGCACTTGGTCGTATTTGTCTTTGAGAACCAACTTTTCAGGGCCTCGAGGGAAATCTTCCGACGTTTGTTTTACTCGCTTTTTCCCGTTTCATGTTTTCTATTGGTATTGAACGGCAGCGGGATCTTGAAGAATTTGGAAAAGGATAGGAAGTTGGGGGAAATTCAGGAAGATGCTAGGTAGAATGGGAATGGAGGCACGAATAAGATCGGGAAATTCAGGTGAGGAAGAGGGGGGGGGGTATTATGCGTTTATGATGCTAAAAGCCTTCAGCAGGCAACTGGACAAAACAAGTTTGTTCGAAAACGAACCAGGAAGCAGAGTATGACACTGTAGGATCATCTACGAAGCAATGCAATGCAATTGTAAGAAATGAGGAGGGTGCGTCAGTCAGAACCTGTTTGTTTTCTTTTGTTATCATTCTTCTCTTCACTGAACCTACTGCCACTTACTTACTTTACTTACTCCTTACTTTTTCTCCGTACAAAAGAACAGAAAACAAAGGTTTCGTCGCTGGTCTACTTTTAGGGATGCGGCATGTGTCCTACTTCCACTCAGA